ATAACAGTTATGTCTTCCAGAACCCAGATGAGGTCTAAATGGGCTTATTAGAAAATGTAGAGCTTCCTGAATTTGGCATTAAACCTTCTTGGGGCTCAGTGGTCAAGAGCACTGGCTGCTATGGCACAGGACCCAGGTTGAGTTCCCAGCATCCACATGTCAGCCAACAACCACCCAGAACTCCAGTTCCAGGGGATCTGATGTCCCCTTCTGGCTCCTATGGGCATTGCTTGCACAGGTGCACTTACATACATGCAGGCAAAACACGAGATAAAAATAAATCAAAAACAAAACCCTGGAACCTCACCAAAACCCTACTAGAGGTTGAGCACCACAAGAGAGTAAATCACTAAAAAAAGGCATTCAGGGTATAGGGTCAACAAAGGAGGGAACAGAGAACCCAGCTGTGCCTCTGAAGCAGATGATACCAGGCCAAGCGGAAGCAGCACCATAGCCCAGCTGCTCTGGCAGCTCTTTAACCTGAGGCCTGCATGCCCTGGAACCTGGCCCAGATTCCTATCTCTACTTACAGGACTGGCTGCATCCTGAGCATATGCTGATGCAGTTTCTTCTGCAAGCATCAGCAGTGGACATGCACTTGCCTCACGAAGAGGTTTGACTTTGGACTCTGATAACAACAGGCAGGCCCCAGGTGAACTAAGCAGCAGAAATGGCCCTGGATCCAGTGTCCTCCAATGTTGGTACAGAACCGAGCCCTGTTAGGATTCTCTCCTACATTACAATACCCACTTGACTTCCTCACAAAGGGCTCTTAAAAGAGTCAGGTAAAACTGCCGAACCACTCTGTTCACTCACCTTTACCTCTAATAATGGTAATATTGCTCTTTCCTTACACAGTCAAGTTTGAACTTAAGATTATAAAACAACAATAACAAAAATAATACCAAATTCAGGAAGCCCTACATTTTCTAATAAGCCTATTTAGACCTCACCTGGGTTCTGGAAGATATAACCTTGTTTTAAGTTTATTTAATGAACAGTTCTCTATTAATAAAGATGAAGATACAGTCCCTAAAGTTTGGGTTTAACTGCAGAAAATAATAAGGTATGATCAGGATTTTTATATCCTAGTAGAGAAAATTCATTCTGAAATACTGTGATTTTTCTTGCCCTGTGAAATACAAACCTGTAAAATACAAACCTGTAACATCTAACTTAACAATCTGGAGACATTTCTTCCCCTGTGAACTACATAAACGTCTATTTTTTTTTTTTGGTCTTTTTGAGACAGGGTCTCCCTGTAGCCCCAGCTATCCTGGAACTCACTATGTAGACCAGGCTGGCCTTGAACTCACAGAGATCTGCCTGCCTCTGCCTCCCGAGTGCTGGGATTAAAGGCGTGCGCCACCATGCCCAGCAAAGGTCTATCTTTTTTAAACTTTTTGTTTATTTTTATTTTACTTGTATGAGGGTTATGCCTACATGTATGCAAGTGCACCCATGTCAAGCACTGCCGGGGGAAGACAGAAGAGGAGGTCTGATCCCCGGGAACTGAAGTTACAGACAGTTGTTAGCTGCCATGTTGGTGCTGAGAATTGAACCCAGTCTTCTGCAAGAAGAGTTAGTGCACTTAACTGCTGAGCCATCTCTCCAGCCCCTAAACTTTTTTTTTTTTTTTTTTTTTTGGTCTTTTTGAGACAAGGTCTCCCTGTAATCCCAGCTGGCCTGGAACTTACTACGTAAACCAGGCTGGCCTTGAACTCAAGAGAGATCCGCCTGCCTCTGCTAGGATTAAAGGCATGCGCCACCATACCCAGCCCTAAACTTATTTTTTTAATTATGTGTATGTGTTTGTATGGGAGAGAGGGGTGCTTATGAATGGGGTGCTCAAGGAGGCCAGAGAGGATGTCTAGTCCCCCAGAGCTGGACTCAAGAAGTTAGGAGCCTCCTGAGTGGGTGCTAGGAACAGATCTTGGGTCCTCTGCAAGAGCAGTACAGGCTCTTAACCACTCTGCAGGTCCAATGCTATCTGTAGGAGAACTTCTTTCAATGCTATTCATTCAAAACTATAGGTTATAGGTGTGTGCATGTATATATGTGTAAAACTTTTGTGTACTGTGTAAAACTTACTTTAAAGGCAAAAACTTATTTTAAAGAGAAAGATGAAAAAAACTAAAATAAGAGCTTTTTTATAAATCTAAGTCTAGGGGCTGGAGAGATGGCTCAGTGGTTAAGAATACTGTTCTTGCAGAAGACCCAGGTTCGAATCCCAGCACCCACATGGCAGCTAACAACTCTCCGTAACTCCAGTTCCAGGAGATCCGACAGCTTCTTCTGTCCTTCATGGGCACTGCCCAACTCAGGTGCACTTACCTACAGGCAGGCAATACACACACATACACATAAAATAAAAATAAGAAATAAAATCTTTAAAAAATAAAAACAAAACAATAAATTTAAGTCTGGTAGTGAACAACATTAATTGGTACAAAAGCATTTTGGTTTTGTCACTGGTGTGTAACAGGGTCTCCACGTTGGCCTCAAACTCATGAGCCTACTGCCTCAGCCTCCCAAGTGCTGGGGTTACAAATGTGCAACACAAAAGCTTTCTGTTTTCAATACTGGGGATTAGGCCTAGGGCTAGGCAAGCACTCTACCTCTGTGCCACATCCCAAATACTTTTAAAAGTGTTTTTTAAGATTATATTTAAATAACAAATTTTTGAATAGTATTTTGCAATAAAAGAAATGTACTTTTAAAAAGAATAAGCATTGTTCTTAAATATTCAAGAGGATTTCCACAGGATCTGCACCCAAAATGTGTCTACATTTCCCCTTTCCTAATAAGCCTGCCATTCATCCCACACAAGCCAAAGAGGTTATATAACCTCAAGGTCAACACCATTCTGTAGTAACAAGGTCAATAATATTTATCATTATTTAACAAATTTTTCTCTACTGCAATCTCTAATTATAAAAATTCCATAGACAGATGTGGTGGCACACACCTTTAATCCCTGCATTCAGGAAGGCAAAGGCAGGTGGATTTCTGTGAGACTGAAGCCAGCCTGGTCTATATTGTGAGTTCCAGACCAGCTGGGGTTACAGAAAAGATTCTAAGAAATACACAGAATTGAGATAAATTAGTAACTACCTTTAAAGAATAAAACCTTAAGCCAGGGATGCTGGTCCCAGAATTTGGGAGGGTAAGGCAGGAGGGCCACTGTTCTAGCTTGTTTCTCCATTGCTGTGAGAAAACACTCTGACCACTACCAACTTGGAGAGGAAAGGGTTTATTTCATCTTAAATCTCCCAGGTCACAATTCATCAGGGAGCCCAAGGTAGGAACTCAGGGCAGAAACCTGGAGGAGCTGGAGCACAAGCCATAGAGGAATGCTGCTTACTGGCTTGCTCTCCTGGCCCCTGCTCAGCCTGCTTTCTTATGCAACACAGGCCCAGCTGCCCAGGGGTGGCACCACCCACAGTGGGCTGGGCCCTCCCACATCACTCAACAATCAAGAAGATGCCCCCAGACATGGCCACAGGCCAGTCCTATGAAGGCAGTTCCCCAGTTGAGACTCCTTCAACCCAGGTGTGTCAAGCTGACACTAAAGCTATCCAGAACTGCCTTGAGTGTAATACGGCTGACATGGCAAGCACCAGGCCCAACCTACATAGTGAGACACAGAGATCAGAGCTGGGAAGATGGCCTATGGGTAAAGTGCTTGTGGTACAAGCATGAAAACCCAAGTTCAAATTCTCCAGCACCCATGTAAGAGCTGGATGTGACAGTGCACACTTGTAAACCCAGTGCTAGAGTTGGGGGGCAGGACAGGTGGATTCCAAGGGATCACTGGCCAGCCAGTCTAGCTGAACGGTGAGAAACCCCATCTCAAGCAAAACGTGGACAGCGATAGAGGAAGACACCTGACATTAACCTGTCTTCCACACAGGCACACACAGAACACTCATGTACACACAAAAACACAATAGCACTACACATAGATATGCTAAACACACTAAATAATAAAAATTACGCAAATAAATAAAAGTTTTAAGTATGGGCTGGAGATGGCTCAGCAGTTAAGAGCACTGGCTATTCTTGCAGAAGACCAGGGTTCAAATTCCAGCACCCAAACAGGGGCCTAACAACCATCCGTTACTCAAGTTCCAGGGGATCTGACACCTTCCTCTGTCCTCCACTGGCAGGCACTGCATGGCACAAGAGTACCTAACACACATGCAGGCATAACACACACATTAAATAAAAATAAATAAAATTATTTTTTAAAAAGTTTAAGTATAGCCAGGCGTGGTGGCGCACGCCTGTAGTCCCAGCACTCAGGAGGCAGAGGCAGGCAGATCTCTGTGAGTTTGAGGCCAGCCTGGTCTACATAGTGAGTTCCAGCTGGGGCTACAGGGAGACCCTGTCTCAAAAAAAGACAAAAAAAAAAAAAAGTTTAAGTATAAAAGTACACTAAAGAGCCATAAACTGTTATCTTTTTGAAAGTTAGCCCAATGCCAACAGGGTTTTCATGCATCAAGGCTTAAATTCTGAAGCAATCAAAATGTACATAAGGAAAAAACACATTATGGTACATCCAAACATATGGCATATTACGCAGCTAAAAAAAAAAATGTTAAGCCCATGTGTATCGACTTGCAAACGTCTTCATACCAGTTACGGAAGAATATTATGCTATGATCTTCTTCGGAAAGGGTGAAGAGTGAAAGAATAAGCGATTTAAACTTGATATAGTTGTTTTAATGCTTTACTTGATACCGCTCTGTAATGTTTTAGTTGTTTTACACATCAATCTTAATCTTATCCATTTAAAAAGGCATATAAAGATTAAACAGGATAGATTCTTTACCACTGGATCCCAGAACCGAATTCAGAAAAAAAAAAAAAATAGTAGTAATCCTAGCTGGTATAATAAGGGGAAGTCAAAAGGATGTGTCTCCCAAAGAGGAAAAAATGCCTCCTCACCCAGCTCTAATTAAACCTGCTTTTCCTGCAGCATCGATATGCAAACTAACCGTTGGGTTTCATTTTAAGATCAGGAAGTCCTTCAGCAGTGTGCTCTTGAATCGTTGAATGTTGGCCACACGCATTTGAGAGGCATTCCTACACGGGTAGGACAGGAAAAGCGAACAGACTGAAGATGCTGAAAAGGAAAAGCCTGGAAATAAGCGCCGCTGGAACCCCCCAGATTTAAAGTACAAGCCGGGTGAAGACTGAGAGCACAGGGATACCCGGAAAAGAGAGGACACATCCACTCCAGCGCCGCGCTCCAATTCCCGAGCCCCCTCCTCGCACCGCAGCTGCCAAGCGGAAGCGAGCCCAGCCCCTTCACCGCTCGGTTTTAAAAGGTCATATATCTAAGAACCTTCCCCGGGGGGACTCGGAAGCCAACTTCTAGGTTAAAAACCAAAACGGCCTTGCCTTCCCCACTACGACCATCACTATAGTGACCACGCTCGGCGCTACTTCTCCGAGCAGGCCACTGCACACCGAGGATGGATTCCCCCAAGACTTCTCGCCCCCGGCTCCAGCCCATCCCTTCGCGGAGGGATGGAGTCGGGAAAGCGCACGAAGCACCGACAGCACCTAGCAGGGCTCGGGACACACAGGAGCGCTAGGGACTGAGTCGCCAGCGCGGCCTCGGCGGCGGGAGGGGGGAGGGTTCCAGGCCACTCCGAGGAACGCGATGGAAACCTCTCCAGGCTTCCACCCACCCGCCTCTCCGCGGAGGTGTGCGGCCGGGCCCCGGGTGGAGGGCGGGTCAGGGCCAAGGCCACCGAAGGGACGCGCCCCGCCCCGCAGATCGCCAGCGCCGCGCTCGTCAGCACCCTGGAACACCCGGCCCGCGGCGCGCAACACCCCCAGGCGGGCCCGGCCCGGCTCCGCACGCTCAGCGGCGACTCCCGGACGCCCGAGAGCGGCCGGCCGCACTCACCCGGCTTCCTGTGACGCCCACGGCGGGCCCAGGCGAGCGCAGGGAGGAATGCGCTTTAGACAGGTTCGGTTAGGCCGTCTCAGCCCGGGAGCCCAGAGCCGGCTGAGGGCGCGAGGTAGGGGCGCTGGTGGGCGGGACAAGGCCCGGTGCGCACCGCAGGAACCAATCGGCGTGCAGCAAGTGGCCTACATGGGCGGGGCATGACTTCGGGAGGCGGAGCGAGATCTCTAGGGGGCGGGGCACGGCGCGGTGGGGCCCGCACAGCTATGGCCAATCAGAGTGCAGCTAGAGCGGGAAGGGGCGGGGCTTGGTTTCTGAGGGCGGGGCTCGAGTTGCGTTTCTCTGCCAGCTCTGCCTTGGTCCAGACGTTGCTCTTCACGGTTTGCGGTAGCGTAAGCCAAGCTCTTTCATTTTTTGTCCTCCTCCCCCCACCGCTGAGTTTCGGCACGTGGCCTTAAATGCAGCATTTGTGAGATCACTTGGGTGGGGAACCCAAGCCTACAGCTTTGCATGTCGGCGAGTGAGCATTGTTCACAAGCTTCCCAGAGTAGAGCACGTGTCCTAGCCATTCAGAAATGGAGACCTAAAGAGACAACTTACTCATCCCAGGGACACCCAGTTAGTACTGGCTACCCGAGGATACTAGTAGGATAAAATTAGACTTCTGATTCCAGCCCGACGATTCTTTTTGTATCCATCCACCCAGATTTTCAGCTTCCTTAGGGCCAAATCTCTACTTGTCTCCTTTAAGGATACTTTCTTGATTTTCAGCATAACTTCAGAAGCCTCTGGAAGCCATGTTCACATTTCCTACAGAATATACAGTTGGAAAAAGAGGCTAAGTCTAGGTTATTAATAAACTGAATGCAAAACACATTTGACCAAGGTAGAATGAAGCAAGAGTTTTCTGTCATGTAATTACCACAAATGTCATCGTGGATCATGTTTCTCCTATAAATCTTGTGCATATCCTGGGATCTAGGTGTTCAATAAATATCTGTTAAATAAATTCCTTTCTTTATGAAGTATGACATTATGCATGCATCCTAACAGGTAGGAGAGAGGGCACAAAAGGGAACAACTTTTTTTTTTCTTTAAGAACCTATCCCAGAGCTGAGGATGTAGCTCAGTTGGTAGGATGTTTATTAAGCATGCACAAGGCTCTGGGATCAATCCTTAGCATCACATAAGCCAGGTGTGATGGTATATCCCTGTAATCTCTGCTTCCAAAAAAGAACCTGCCCTTGCTTTGCTGTGGGTGAGTGGGACAGACCCATAGTCCCAAGTAGGGGAGGGCTCCTAGTTCCAGCCAGCCTGAGGAGACAGGTCTCAAAAACAACCAAAGAGTGGGGATGATGGTGTACACATTTACTGCATTCAGGAAGAGGCAAGTAGATCTCTGTGAGACTGAGGCCAGCCTGGTCTACATATCGAGTTCCAGGCCAGCTGGGGCTACAGAGAAACCCTGTCTCAAACAAAAAGCGCCAGGCTTGGTGGCGCATGCCTTTAATCCCAGTACTTGGGAGGCAGATCTTTGTGAGTTCAAGGCCAGCTTGGTCTACATAGTGAGTTCCAGGACAGCTGGAGCTACAGGGAGACCATGTCTCAAAAAAAAAGCAATCAAGGATTTAGTATGTAGTACAATGGTACCATGCTTGCCTAGCATTGCAAGGCTCTGGTTTCACTCTCCAACAGTTAAAAGGAAAAGAAAAAAAAGTGTCCCAGAGATTACAATGTGCCATTTCTGCTTTCATTCCATTGGTTGAATTCTAGTCAAGTGACTAAAATGCAAAGAGAGAAAAACAGAAAAGAATGGATATTGGGGGACAACTGGAAGTTTCTATCATAGCAACTTAAATGTTAAGCAATATTGTGTTTCAGTATTCTCCATGTTTTTCAAAGATGTGTTAGAGGAGAATATAAGAAATTGTTTATTGGGCCGTGAGATGGCTCAGTGGGTAAGGGCACATGCCACTAAACCTGATGACCTGAGATTGATCCCAGGCTCCACATGGCAGAAGGAGAGACCCACTCCTGCAAATTGTCTTTTGACCTCCACACATGCTCCATGGTGCGTGTGCATGTGCGCGCGCGCGCACACACACACACACTAAAAGTAATTTTTTTAATTTTAAAGAAAATATTTACCTCCATTTATGAAGATGTCTCTGCTCATCTCACATTATGATGTGCATGCTTTGACTTGTTTTTCTAGCAATGAATGGAAATCGAACACTAACACAGCTTACTTCTCTTATTCTATAAAACGCCTCCTCCATGAAGGCAACCAAAGATGGATTTAGGTATGCTTTTTAAAATGTGGACACTCACAAAATATTGAAATCCACTTGCTGATATCGATATTTCATTGTCAATTCCAAGTGTACTGATTTAAGTCTTATAAAATTGCAAATCAGCTTTACAACTCCACAGATGCTCTCCTTGAATTTGAATTCTACCATGAAGCTATCTAAGGATATGCTTTGTCAAATTCTTACTACCTGGGACTGGAGAGATGACTCAGCAGTTAAGAGCACTGGCTGTTCTTGCAGAGGACAGAGGTTGGGTTCCCAACACTCGTGTGGCAGCTAACAATCATCCTTAACTCCAGTTCCAGGGGATCTGATGCTCTCTTCTGGCCTCCTCGAGCATTGCACACATGTGGTGCACTTACATAGATACAGGCAAAACACACTTACACATAAAAATAAATAAAATAAGTAAAAAAAAATTCTTGCTACTTAAGCAACTTGAGAGTCTCCCTAAACTAGGGAGACTTTGTGACTTCAGGACCCTCTTTAACCTTGGACCAGGACTAAAAGACCTACTTCACCTAAAACAACAAATAGACTCCACTCCACACACAAGCTTCCAAAAGAAAAGAACAGTCCAGGCTGTGTGGACTGTTCAAAAGAGACCCCACAATTTCTGGTCTGTTACTATTTTCTCCAGACTTATGTCATGAACTTACTCTGGAAGTAAGTGGAATTCATTTCCCATCATTTAAGATCACAAAGTAAACATATCACAGGAACTAACTCAAAGACCAAAGCATGCTGTGTAAACACAGACTTCCTCAAATATTGTCTCCCCTCCTCCATAAGTTCATGGAGTTGAGTAACAAAAAGGTTTCATGCCACTATTAAGTTGTGTTCTGACAAGTCTGTCTTGAGAGTAAGACCAGACTCGCTTTGACTCTGACATTGACTCTCTTCTGAAATAACATATATGTAGTGTCAATCATTTGGTGAAAATACAGAAGCCAAGGGAAAAATCTAAATAAACTCTGAAGCCCTCTAGCTTTTAGTTTCCTGCTTTTAGTTAACTTTAAGTAATTTTGGAGGTCATGCAGTGTGGGAATGACTTTTTTGGTAATCTTATAACCAAAGTTAATCTTATGTTTTGAGATCATTTAACACGGTCTATTTAATGCCTTCCTACTGCATAATCGTCTTATTTAAATGTAGGTTGCCTTTAGGAAAATAATGTGAACTAGCTGAGCATGGTGGCACATGCCTGTAGTCCCAGCACTTGGGAGGCAGAGGCAGGTGGATCTCTGTGAGTTCAAGGCCAGCCTGGTCTACACAGTGAGTTCCAGGAAAGCTGGGGCTACAGGGCTACAGGAAGACCCTGTCTCAAAAAGACCCCCAAAAAAGAAAAGAAAAGACTGTGAACAGTCTTGCTAGGCCTTGGGCTCCTCTTGCAACCAACTTTTACAAGCTACACTAAATAAATAGCTTTAATCTTAGATCATATTCCTATTTCTTCCTCATGACCCTTCCTTGACCCTACCCCTGAGTAATGTGTCTGTATGTGTCTTGTGAAAACGTCAGTGCTGAAAGCTGCAATGTTGGACACAAAGAATTATCCCCAGTTTATGTTGCAAGCAACAGGTGGGATTAAATTAACATTGGTAGTTTTATATGCTGTTCAGTGTCACTAAGGGTCAGAAAAAGCTAAATTCTTCCCTAATATGACAAAGTTCCTCATTTCCTTTACCATATCAAGCTGGCTGTCCTGTTTAAATTTTGAGAGAGAGAGAGGGAGAGAGAAAGAGAGAGAGAGAGAGAGAGAGAGAGAGAGAGAGAGAGAGAGAGAGAATGCCCTGGATTAAAAGTACAGTTCTGAGAACAAATCAGGCTCTTAGTTTAAACAACTCCAAGAGTAGGGCAGTCTTTTCATGTAGTGGACCTGAATAGTATTAGTCACTGTAGTAGTTTGAATAAGAAATGTCCCCTGGGCTGGAGAGATGGCTCAGTGGTTAAGAGCACTGACTGCTCTTGCAGAGGACCCGGGTTCGATTCCTAGCACCCACATGGCAGCCACAAACCGTCCTTATCTCCAGTTCCAGGGGAATCCGAAGCCCTCTTCTGACTTCCGCGGCATTGCACGACATGGATGCACTCACATTCATGTAGGCAATACACTCATACACGTAAAATAAAAATAAATTTTTTAAAAAAAGAAATGTCCCGTATAGGCTCAGGTATTTGAACACTTCGTTCCCAGCTATTGGTGCTGTTTGGGTAAATTATGGAATCTTTAGGTGGTGTATCTTGGCTGGAGAAAGTAAGTCACTGTCACTGTGGGAGGGCCTTGAGGGTTTGTACCTTGTCCACTTCAGTTCTCCTTTGTCTCTTGGGTGCTGTGGATACGTGATCTCTCAGCTTCCGGCTCCTGCCACCTTGACAGCCATGTCATTATGGACATCTAGACCTCTAGAACCACAAGCCAAAATAAATTCTTAAGTTGCTTTTGGCCATAGTATTTCATCACAAAAACAAGAAAATACCTAATACAGTCACCCACTACCTTTATTTCTGAAACACTCCTGGTGTGGGGGTCATGGAGATGGTTGCCACAGTTACTTTTCAGACACTTGATAATCACTTTTGTTGAAGCCACTTACCCCTTCACTTAGGCACGAGTACCCAATAGGTGACATTTTGCTACCGGTGTGCTGAAAACAGCTCTACCTTAAGATCATGCCAGTTTCCTTAACATGAGGCTAATGGAGAGCTGTGAAAACCTATTACGCATGTGCAGACCACCAGTTACTTTTGCTCCAAACACCTGTTCCCCAGACCTTGAGTCACCCTGCATCTCCATCTCTTAAATATCCCAATCCAGGGCTGG